GAAGGTGCAGGAGGGACAGAGATTAACCCCGCAGCATCCGCACAGGATCTTTGTGGGTCCCTAACTTCCGCCAATAATGCTGCGTTCCAATAAAATCCTTCCGACAGGCTGGCCGGCTGGCAGGAGGGAGCAAACAGCACCCGCAGCATCTGGAAAAAAATATTGCAGAGCATCTGTTTAAAAAGAAATGCAAAAAATACAAGCCACATGGCCTCTGTAAAAGCCATTTATGGGGCTTACCTCCTTGTGCCAAAGCAAGCCCGGGTTGCTGACACAGCTGAAAAGCTGCCCCTGTCACCAGCCAGAGATGACTTTTGTCTCCTTCCCTTCTGATATTATTTACCTCGCACTCAGCTTGAAGTCCCCCAGGCGAGGATGGAGCCCTAGGTTTCCCCTCCGCCCTCTCTTCCCCACAAGTTATTCTTTAACTTTCTAAGGCAATTGCCCTCTCTGTTTACCGGGCCAGCAGTGCCAAAGGAGAGGGCTGGGGAAGAATGTTTATCTGCTGTCAGTCTATAAAGCAGCATCGCTCACCCCCGGGGTCACCGGAGGGATTGACAACGTAACCCAAAGCCTTGGAACGGGCCCTGCCCTCCTTAGAGAAGCATCGGGCTGTCAGTAACAGGGCCATAGGTTTATTCAACTGAGATCTCCCGATCTCAAAAGATAATCTGGGAATAATTGGGATTTAAGGAACTGGTGGGAATCTGATTTTTTCGCTGCACTGCCATTCACGAAACAGATGGACATCTTATTTCTCTCTAATTTGATGGGTTTTCTTGACAAAAATGGCAGAGGTTGCACTTTGCTACAATAATAACCTGCCACTCAGCCTTTGTAAAAGGGGCTTGTGTAGATTTCTTCTTAATTAGAGCGCGTCTCGCTATCCAGGAGGGGCTGGGTGTGCAGAGGCCGGTATTTGCAGCCGCTTCTCTGCGTGACAGAAGCTGGGGAAAATGGAAAGGGGGGGACACAAATCCAGGGGCTTTCACGTTTGTCACTTTTTCTTTTTTTTAATTCTCACTGGAAAACTAAAGCTTGGGCTCAGAGCACATTGTGTGGATGATAATGTATTCATGGCTTTGCTTCCTCTTCCCCAGAAGCTCTCTGTTAGCCAGGGAGGCAGCCCCGTGGCTGTGCAACCCTTTTGAACCACTTTCTGGTTTGCAAGGGAAAAAATGTTGCTTTGGCAAAAACCCCCACAAAACATCTGTCCCTGGCCCTGTCATTTCCCTCTCCACCCAGTGAAGAACATCTTTGTGCAGGTGTGCACATGGGTTTGCTTTCTCTCCATCACACCAGTGGAAATCAGGAGTCATTTTCTAGATCTCAGTGGTATGAGTCAGTGGAGAAATGGGTCATTTATTTTGCTGCCACACTCTCAACCAGCCCAAATAGTCAAAACTCATGAGCCAGGCACTGAGCTGATGTGGAGATGGCTTAAAATTCACCAATACCTTTTGTGTTCATTTATTTACCTAGGTTTGAGCCTTTGGAGGAGCAAGGAAAGGTCATGCTTTCATGCTCTTCTCTCCAACCAGGAGGGTTTCCAACTTCGAAAGGCGAGATTCTCACATCATCCCATGACTCCTGGAGCTGGGGGTTGCATTGGAGAGGGATCCTTTCAGGAGAGTGGCATCACTGCAACTCACTGTAGCAAGTAGCTCATCCGGTAAGCCTAGGAGCAGCTTGCAAAGTGAGGCCAGTCAGGAGGAGGGGCTCCTGGGTTAGATATACCATTAGCTTCATTTTTTCGTTAGAGTTTCTCTCTCCTTTCGCTCTGTTCCCCCACCCCGATATGGAGTGACCCATCTTCATTGCATGTATCCCATCAAAAAGGAGAACACCACCAGGTGACATGTCTGACCAAGTACATTACTTTCTTCACTCTTGCCTCAGTTTTCCTGTGTTTCCCCTTATTTTTTTTCCCTGGGATTCTTCTTTCTGCTCCTTTCCGTTCGACAGCCAGCCTCCCAAACCCGACAGCAAATCAACTGGACTTTAATTTAGCGCCAGCATATGTGGCCCACAGAGCCAGTATTAATCTATTTGTACGGTTGTCTCAGCGGGGTAGCTTCGTCCTAGGTGGTCTCTGCTGCTGCCTCCTAGTACTTGGGAAGGGAGAAAAATGCTTCTGTTGTTTTCGATGGGAAGTCTCATCTCATGGCAATCCCCCAAATGCGCCAAAGCACTTTCTGTCTGCGCACATTTCCTGTATCTGCTCTGGGCTTTGGGGCTTGGTTTTTTAATGCAACCCCTGTGATTTTTGATGGAGTTTAGTAGTGAAAGGGTAAGCCATAGGCCGTTCCCTTCAGCTCACACACGGCACCCTCTCGGCAATGCTGCAGTGCTGAACTTTGCAAACTTCTGGGATCCGAGTATTTCAGTGGGAGAAACACTCCACACTCGACCCCTGTGCTCCAGGTGAGGCCGCATCAGTGCCGAACAGGGTGGAAGAAGCTCTTCTTTTGCTTTGCACGTGACACTTCTGCTAATACAACCCAGTATGCTGTTGGCTTTCCCCACCAGTGCAATGGTACCCTAAGTTCCTTTCCTGTTAAGGAGTTTGGGCTTTGACACATTGGTTAGAAGGTATTTAAGACTCTGCAGGACTGTCTTGATAGGTTTGCACTTTAGCCATCAAAACCACATCACCTTATCGTGCAGCTGGCTTGCAGTCGGCCAGGATGAAGACAAGGCAAAGATCTCTAACTAGCTGGAGTAGGTAGGGGTAGCGGAAAGACCTTGGTTACTTCTAGTTGAAAGACTCACCTTGGCTATCTGGTTATGGTGGCACTGTATATGAGATTAGGTGAAGCTGAGGTCCTGGTAAACCTCTCTGTGTGGGGGGCTTGCAACTCTAGTTTCACCCTGTGGACATTTCCTTCTGTAATTTAAAACCCATGCTTTCTTCAGAGGACCTTGCTGGGCTAGGATCTTAAATCAGGATCACTCAGATCTAGAGCTAACACCCAGGTCCTCCCCCTCCGGGATCAAGCTACGGCTTTTTCAAATCTATCTGCCATCTTCTCAAGCCATCTTTGCAGGGAAGTCAATTGACCGCTCGCTTCCAATGAAAAGAACAAAACAAATCTCCAGTGACTTTTCTTGCAAAAGGGTGGAGGTCTTTACAGATGAAGAAACAAAATTTGAGCTCCCCTCCTGGCATGACAGCAGCCTGTCCTTAATACCAAGCCATGTGCTAGGCTTCGGGGCTCTGTCCATTTTCCAGCAGGAGAAGCATCTGCAAAACAACCCACCCCCCCATCAGCACAAGGCAGCCTTGTTGGCAGTCTCAGGATGGCATTAAGTGATTAAACCTCTTTCTTGTCCCCTAGGAGAAAGGGCTCATGGGGAAGCATGTAGGAAGCCCATTGACCCTGGCACTTTGCAGCTCTCTTGCCTCTTCCGTTTGAGATACAGAGGTCCCCAAAACGGCACTGCGAGTGCCACTGCATCCAGTCTGCCCCTGGGCCAGACCACAGAAGACTCCCTCCTCTGATCTTTGGATCCAGCCCCGTTCAGTGCGAATTTCTTTTGAAAACCAATTTGAAGCCAACAAAACACCCTGCTGAGATCAGTTTGGTTCAACTTTTCGGCACCCAGCCCTTCGTCTCCCTTTCCAAGCCTGCAGGGCCAGAGGTGTGAAACCCAAACTCCCCCCGCCCTGCCCAAGGGAAGTTGAAGCCCAGGCCAGCCCAACTCCCAGCCCTTTTTTGGGGTTTTTTTTTGGCAAATGCAGCCTTGCCATGTCTGAGAAGGAGCCTTGCTGCCAGGCGGCACCTCCCAAACGGCGAGCGTACCAATGCGAATAATTCCTGCTTGATTTATTCCTTCCTAGCTATGAAGTGGCATTAAGGATTTAAAGAAGCCTATCTAATAGAGTGCTGGAAATTATAAATCAGTGGGGCTTTGTAAAGGTTATTACTTTAAACAAAGGGGATGCTGAATGGAGCCAATTAAATGGCACCTGAATTGATAAACAAACTGGTTATTGTAGGGAGCCCTTCTCCAGATCCCCCCGCCTCCTCCTCTTCCTCCCACCCCTTCCTCCGGAGAGGCAGTAATAATGAATAAGGAGCAAGGCCTGTGGAGAAATTTACATGTGATTGGAGTTTAATGGGCCGCAACAGGCCTACCATCTGATCGCCATGGAAACCAATCCTTTCTCAAGATTTTAAACAGTCTGAAATGTCCTTTTATTGTCTGCTTAAAATGTGTCATGTGAGCCCAACGGGGTGGGCACTTGTATGTATCAATTTGTTTCTGTCTCAAGGCATGCCATTGCCAGGCTATGAATATATGTTGGGGGGGAAGAGCCAGGGGAGCAGGGACAATGGGCACAGCTGATTTAGCATCCATGGAGACCCTGCCATACTATGCTCAGGAATGGTGACATATGGTCCCAGCCTGACCTAGGCAATAGAGTTACAATAGGCAGCCACGTTGCCCCGCACAAGAGCTGGGGGGTTTCCTTTTTATTGCTGGCTATTCATCCCACGGCCAAGTAAACTTTTTCCAACGCTTTCGCGCGCTCTCTCCCTTTTTTTTTTTTATTTATTTCTTTTAAACCCCGGCCGTTGCTCACGTCGGCCGGGTGAAAGGGAGCAGAGGCTGGGGGCGGGTGGGGGGCGCGGAAGAGAATCGGGAAAAGAAAGTGCTCTTCACCTCCGAGAGATGTTTGCTTTCCACTTGATTAGAAACCGGACGGCGGTAAATATTGGAGCTGGGTGAATGCCGGGGGTAGGGGACGGGGTCCTCAAGTATTAGGGCTGGGTCGGCCCATCTCATTGCCTCCCTTGCAACAGCTGGCGCCGCATACTTCAGGGGAAAGTGCAGGAAAGCCACGGGGGACGCCAGTGGATCAGTCATCTTCATGCTCGGTGCTAACCTGCGCACCAAACCCAACCAGCTCCGGACCCCAAACAGGCCTTACGAGGGAAACTCGAGTTGCTGCCATTCTCCTATAAGCATCCCTTTCTTTTTGGGCTCCTGCTTACCTCTCTGCTTCCACCCCATCTTGGGGTCATGAGCACTGAGACAGTCCCTCTCTGGTGGAGTTCACGTCCCCTTCTGCTCCTGCTTCCCCGAGCACGCTCGGCCGGGAGTTTTACCAGCATGAATTATTTACAGCAAGTGGATCTGAAGGTCAGACGCAGGAGGCAGAGCAGAAATAGCACGTTACATTTGCGTTAGGCATGTGCCCGGTCGGAGAATTGGAGCCGTACGAGGCGATTGCTCTAACCAGCCCCCACTAGAGGAGAGGCTCGAATATCCAATACCCTGGGAGAACTGGTTAGGCTCAAGCCAGGGTGGCAAAAGACAATTTAGGAAGGAAAATAAAAGAATTGACTTCTCGAAACAAACTAATCCATCAAGGGAACTAGGAAACCTGCCCCACAGGCAGGGAGAGGGGAAAAGCCCGGGATTCCTTGCAGCTGAATTGCCCAATGTAATATCATAGGTTTTCTTTCTTATTTTATTTTTAAAAAGGGGAAGGCATTTTTTTTTCCCTTCTTTTTTTCCCCCCCTCGAGCCAGGAAACTGCATGTGATATTCAGAGATCAGTCAGTATTTCACAGCTCTCTGCCCCTGCTCCTTCTTCTGCTTTTAAAGCCATCTGGCTTTTTGCTTTGAATCTTGGAAGTCAGCCTTCGAAGGGGAGCATGGCAGGTTGGCCACATCCGCCTTCAGCTCTGGGATGCTGGTTCAACTGCAGCCCTGGTTTGTGGTGAATGGACTTTATAACCGCTTTCTGGCTGTTTGCTAGACTGCCACAAGACCTGCTGTTCAGGTCTTAGCTCAGCTCCCAGTAAGTGTCTGCTGCGGGCATCAGCATCCTCCGAAGAGTTAAAGGGTGGAGACGATGTGGTCTGGAAAGGTGCCTTTCAAGGTAGCAGCCAGGCCTTTGGTGGGGTGCTGTGGTCTGTCTGCATGAGTTGATCCCTTTGTGTGTGGATCAGTGGGGCTTCCACTGCACTTGTCTGGGGGGTGTCTGCCCTTGAGCCAACGCCTCTGGGGAGGATCACTGCATCATCACCATTCAGGCACGTTGCACAGCCTCTTTGGCTCTGCTAGTTTCCTCCATTTGGGGCTCTTCCCTTCCTCCCCCAGAACAGCTTTCTGATTCTGCTTCCTCCCTTTTCAGCCCCCCAAGTGAGGACTTGCTCCCTGTCTGCCAGCAGAGGCAGGAATGGGGCTGCCCAGCAGGGCTGGGTTTGGTCCAGGCAGCCCATCAAGCCTGTGTTTTTCAGTGCTTAACATCTTGCATTGCGGCGTTTGCTCGGCACACGGACGGAGGCTTCTGCAAGGCACCTCTCGCAACCCGCTTATAAATAGATGTCATTGGGAAAATCTTCAAGCCGCGTAACGATCCTGTTTTTAGCACTGCCACATGCAACTCCCAGTGGCACAAGGGGAGAACTCGTGCCTGCGGCAAAAGAAGGATGGAGACATCCTCCGAATTGGGAACACTGGTGCTCTGGTCCCAGCTTCCACTGCTCGCTCCTCCGATGAATCGTGCTCTCTCATTCTGCCTCAGTTTCCCCATCTGCTATGAGGGGACAATGCTGATACACTGATAAGCCGCTTGCAAAGCCCTTTGCAGGGGAGCACGTCCCAGTGTTCGTCCCCTCTCCGTGTGGCTCGGACCATGCTCCTGTGTGGGAGCCAAAATGCACTCCAGTTACCAGTGAGCTGTGTATCTGCTCCAGCCCTAGACGCTTCAGCTTGCTGTACAGGGGGCATGAAAGAAACAGCCAAGGCCAGCCCGCTAGGTCAGGAGCACAGTCAACCAGCTGCATGAGGACCTAAGGGTTTGACCACCGGGTGGGGGGCTGCGAACAGGTGCCCCGAGGGGAGAGCTTGATTAGCTCTGGAGATCGCTGCTGGCAGTTCATGGCAGAGTGGTGCACAGATGATTAAGTGCCCTTTGCACGGGGCCTTGTCTACACTGGCCAGCTAATACAACCCTCAGTCCACATGTCTCCTTGCTGGCACGGACCCCCGTCTACTCCAAGAGGGGCCTGGCCACAAGGAGCTCACTGCGCAAGTGTGCTCCTGATTTCTCCAGATGCTGTACGCAGGGCCTCAGACCAGGAGCTGGAGCTAAAGGTCTTGCTAAACCAGCCAAGAGCTATAAACACTTGCACATGGGGCCCAAGACAAAGAAGAATTTATAATCCCAGCCAAGCCCTTTATTCCTTTTTTAAATTACAGCTACCACCTACTGACAGGCTTCCTTCCACTGCCCTAGCTCTCTGCTAAAAAAAAACAACAGAAACAAGTCCATGGTGCAGGTCTTTTATACCAGAGCCCAGCAACAAGGCTGGAGTGGGTGGAGCAAAATCCAGGACTCCACCTCAATCACCATCCTATAAAAAGGGGGCTTCCAAATCTCACTTGCTCTTAATTACTAGAATGAATCTAGGTCTGGGCCCATTAGCAGCTTCTGTTTGCCCCAGTCTCCAAAGCAGCAGCTTCTGTGTGCTCTAAAGAAGCAATCTCCAAAGAAGCTTCTGTTTGCTCCCTGTTAAAAGTCCAAAGGAGTGCTTTATTAATAACATCGAGGTGGCATTCAGGAGCTGGAGTCATGGACCAGGACTTCGATGTGATAGGGGCTGTACAAACATGTGGCAAAAACAGGGTCGCTTTCTGAAGAGTGCAAAAGGAAACAGGGAGGGGGGCATTTTTTACTATTGTAGTTCCAGGCTCTCCTGGAGATGACAAACTTTGTCCAACTCTGTCTGAGAAGAAAAAGGTCATGCTTTAGGAGTAAGGGCACATTTATAAACACATTCTCCCAGGCTAAAAATGATGAATACATTAGATAATACAGGGTTAATTATTGTTATAGATCCCAAGAGTTCAATAGCTCTGAAACCACCTACCTTTGCGCCATCCAGCAACCATATCCTTGGCTGCTCACGTTTTATAAGGCAATAGGAAATATGCCCTTGATGTGAGGCATTATGGGGGAAAGTCAAAGAGCATTGTTTAAACACCTAGTTACGCCTGGTCCTTGAGCTGTATTGGAGACAATAGTTAACTAATTGGGATGCTGAGCAATGGCTTCACACTGCTTGTTGTTGCCTGCCAACATGAAGGAAGTTTCAGGTACTATAACCTTAGTGCTGGCATTTGACTCCACCTCCGAGCTCTGTGGTTTGTAGCCTTGGTGGGTCAACGCATACCCTTCAACCTAGGAGAAATTATGCGGGTGTGAGCTGGGGAGACACAAGCCAGTGGGGTTTACTGTTTAGCTTCTGCTCCTGTTAACCCGTGGAACTCTCTGCCACCAGGTCTCCAGCTTAGCAAGCTTCAAAATGGGCTGAGATATTCATTTGATATCCAGAGTTACAATGAAGCCAGGACTGGAGAGAAAAAAGATGAAGGGTGTCAGAAGGGCTAGAGACTCTTCCATGTCAGGGCACAGACTGACAGCTCGCTGATGAAGCTTAGGAAGAATTTTTCCCTGCGAGCAGACTATTCTGCTGCTTCCTCTGAAACTAATTCCAGCAGGATACTGGATTAGAGGAACCATGAGTGTGATAGCAAAGCAGTCCCTAGGTTCACCAGCAGCCCCCAACAGTCAGGGGACAGGCATTTTCATCCAGGCCCGGTGGGTCTGGAAGAGCACGGTTGCATTTATCGTAGCATCTTACACTCACGCTGCACTGGGGCAAAAGGCTACTAAAGAACTGCAGCCAGGAAGCAGAAAATTCACCCCCTGGTGCAGGAGCTTGTGAGGGCTTCTACCTGCCCAATTATGCTTGCCGGGCACCTGAGGTGCCTGCGTAAGGGGCATATAGCTTGTAGCCGTGCTGGCCTAAAAAGCAGAAGAAGGCACAACTCTTGTGCTAGAGGCGATATCTTTTATTAGACCAACAAAAAATAGTGAAACAAAATTACTTCTTTGCAAGTTTTGAGATCCTGCTTCCCTGCATGGTTTCGCAACAGGGTCAAGAAGAGCCTTCGAGGAGGAAAAATAAAAGCAGCCCCTTTTCTAGGAGACCCCCATCCTCTTGTCAGCAAGAGCGGGGCAAAAGCTGCAGCAAATGGACTGGCTGCTCTGACACCGGTGCTTAAACAAGATGCCTATCCCATGCTCTCGCTTTCTCTGTCCTGGGATGCCTGTCCCCTTGCTGTTGATTAAAGTGGTGTTGAGCAATGTAAACCCTTGCGACTGGCACTCTTGCCTTGCCCGGCATGTGCATTCACCTATTCATCCCATTCAAGCCGCTGCACCATGTGCAAGGAGAGGTGCGTGGGGACGGGGGTGTTACATGTCCCGAGATCCATGCTAACAAGGCCTTGCCTGTGCCCTAGCCGTCTGGATGGCAGGCTGTTGCGAACCGTGCTTTTTCCTAATCTGATTAGCCTGAAGTAGCCCATGTGAAGGGAGCTCAAATAATTGGCACAATAAAATGCAGGGTCCCGTTGGGCGGGAGGGACGGGAGAAACAGCTCCCTTCATTCAGAGGAAGTGTTTTGCGTGACAACAGTCCCAGTTCCAAATAAAGATGCTCTCCTGAGGGGGCAAATAATAAACAGTATTTAAGAGGATGCTTGAAAGAAAGATTAACCGCAGGCCCATACAGCCGGCAATAATAAGCATCTTTTTATCTTGTGGCTTAAGGTCGAAACACAGAGCGAGGGAACAGAAGCACAGGGCTAGGCCCCTGAACAGCCCAAATTAAACCTGGAGAGGGCTATGGAAAGGAAGCTGAAACAGCGTGAAGCAAACAGAAAAAAACAGAGACAGAGGGGCAGGCTTTTTAGCAGAGGCTCCAGAGCTTCCTTAGCAGCCTTGTTTCCAGGTTTAGTCACCTGCAAAGTGGCACCGGTTGAAAAAGGGTCCGTAATCCGATTTAGTGAAATCAAAGCAAGGAGTTGTGCTGGACACGCTGATTTAGGTCTAACTCGAGTTTGTTTAGGCTTCGCTGGAGTGGATCATGGTTAAAAAAAAAAAAAAA